TCATGGATTGAATTGTATTCCCCCCAAAAGATTTGTCAGCTTGGCTGGGCCATAATTCTCAGTTGCTTGGCAGTTATATAATGATATAATGTGGCCGTTAAGTTATGATCCCCTATGATGCGATCTGATGTAATAAACCAATAAAAAGATTAAGATTGTGCTGCAATATTGTTAATCCCATCACAGCATTAATCACATGTAAGGGAGTTTTCTGGAAGTGTGATCTGTAACACCTTTTATCTTATAAGAACTAAAAGGACAGAGAAGTGAACAGAAAAGGAGGGTCCTACTGGAAGTAGAGCTAGGGTCTATGTACTTTGAAGCTCCTAGATCCAAGGATTGATGCAAGGCACATTTTGATCTCCAAGAAATGCTGGGCTTATTGATGCTGGAAGGAGACAAGGACCTTTGTCTAGAGCTGGGACTGTAAATTCAGACTTCTGGCATCCTACACAGTGAAAGAAAAAATGCAAAAATAAAATAAAATAGATTAATTAAAAAAGCCATCCATTTGTGGTATTTCTGTTATAGCAGCACTAGATAACTATGACATGGGGTCTGACAAATCTGAAATCTGTACTCAGTTGGTGGCAAGCTGGAAACCTCTACTGGTTCACAGAATTGTGGTGGCTGGCAAATTCAAAAATCTTTAGGTCAAGTCAAAACTGATGTCCCAAGATGCATAGGTCAGGTAATGAGAAGAATGCAGGGTTGAAAGAAAGTAAATTTTGCCAGGACTACACCTCACAAGAAAACTTCCCTTTCAACTGATTGGTTGATCTATCATTGAGATTGATTATATTATTACATTACATTATGGAACAGCAACCTGTTCAGTGTCTACCAAACCACTGAAAATTGTAGCCTAGCCCAGAGGACATATATAATTAATCATAACACTAATCTTTCAATTTCTGCTGCCATCCCCTTACCGAATGATTCTCTCCTTAAATTTCTTGGGTTATGATACTCCATGCCAACCACAGACTCATGCTAGACCCTAGACCATCCCTCTGCAGGGTCACCTTCCTCACCTTTGTCTGTCTCTGATGTTCTGTTGTTATTGTTAAGTCCTGTCAAGAAAGGTCTAAGTTACAGCGATCCTATATAAGGTTTCTGAGAAATGACTGGTGTGTTTTAGACACCGATCTTGCAGTTAGCAGTCCAGTATTTACCTTATAGTGCCACACATTTTGAGTAGGAGCACCTTTAACCATAGATACCTTCCTTACCTACTTGGGCTCTGACACTCATGCTGGGCTGAATCCCTCTCCCCTTCCCCCTCTCCACTCATGGGTGCTATCTACTCTTTGCTCTGATCCTAACACTCAATGTCAGGCCAACATTTGTATAGATGCTATCCTCTCTTAGCATGAGCTCTGATACCCCATGCTGGGCTCTGATACTCTTATTCTATTAGGGGTGCACCATCTGAATTTCCAAGTCACCTCCCCAAATCTAGACACCTTCTTTACCTTGCTTGGATTCTAATTGCCAATACTAGATTGCCCTACTAGTTGGATGCCCTCCTCCCCTTGTGATCATGTTCTAACACCTTTCTAGGTCACTGTGGCTCCCTTTTCTGCAGTCACTTACTGCAACTAACAACTTTAGGACTGGAATGAAAAGGAAATGAAGGAAAGGGGAAAAGAGAAAGGACTTATTCTTTCCTCATTAGTCTGTCCACAAGGAAATATATGCATGAAAAAGTTTAAAAGAGTCAAATTTGCTCTTAGTTTTCAATAGTAACAAAAATTTGAAGTGAAAAAACAAAACTTGGAGCTATTAGGAAAAGTAAGATTTGAAGTTAACTGTAATATCAATTGGAGAATCGAACTCCTGTTTCTCTTCTCCTTGTTTCCTGCTTTGTTCTGATAGATGACATCTAAATGAGACAGAAATAAAAAGGCTGGGATGTATAAGTTTTTCTATTTCAGTTCTCTTGTTCTATAGATGAGGAACATGAATCCTGGTTAGGTCAAAGTGCTTTCTCAGCTTCCAGGTGACCAAGTCAGAAATTAAAAGAACACTTTTTGGCCAGTGTGTGGCATACTACCTTTCTTGTTATTATTTTTAAATTATTTTATCTGTAACGTAAATTTCCTAGAAAAATCCTTATATTTAAAATTGAAAATATTTTTTCTTTAGTAGTGATATTACTGATAGAAGTAATATTTTGGGTCCCTAGTGTGGTGCTGTACTCAACTGAAAAGTAGGCTTGAACTGTAAGGTCAGCAGTTCAAACTCACCAGCCACTCTTTGGAAAGGGTTGCTATGAGTCAGAAATGACTTAATGGCACTTAACGACAGCAACAAGAAAGCATTATTGGAGTAGTAATTGGTGATAATAGTTCATTAGAGGGGAAAATCTAGAAATTTATTTTATCAATCATTAGTAACTTGTATTTTCCAGAATTCTCTCTTAATTACATGCTTATATTATTTATACCTGAGAAAGTTGCCAAAAGGTGGATTAAGATTTACTTTACTCGTTATTATCTTGTGGGTTGGTGGATTCACAACCCACAAGACGTATGTAAACAAGAATGGCTGATAAATACATTAAGCTTTCAAGAAATCCACAATTATTTTTTATTAATTAAAACCCATCTATATTTATGAAAAATTCAACATTCTATACATTAGTTTAATTGCAGTTCAAGTTAGAAATGAACAAATTGCTGGATGTAGATGAACATTCAGTAATCCCAAGAAATCATCCTGAAGTCAAAGGGAAGAGTAGCAATAAACCACATTTAAAAATCCAATCAAAGGCTGGGAGAGTCCCACCAACTGAATAATTTAAGAGTTCAGCTGTGACTTGGCCTTAACTTCTGGCCCTTGGATGAGACATTTGCCTTTTGAGCATCAAAGTAATTCTGCACATTAACCAATGCAGACTTACTGGAATGGACACATCATTCAGATCACTTAGTTCACCTCCCTCCAACTGCAGAAAACATTCTACCACATTTCATGTAGGTGGTCACCCAGGAACTAATTGGTTTGAATCACTTTCAATTATGGGAAACACACTACCTCTCAAAGCAGCTATTTCTTATATTCTGAAGATTCCTGCTTGTTGGTGACTTTGCCCTGTTACTGCTGTCTTCTGTTCTCTGGACTTAGAGTATAGTTGAATCCTCTTCACATGATGGTCCTTCAGTTGTGTCCGCCTGGATATTCATCCTCCTGTATTTTTTTCTGTCGTTTTCTTCCATAATGTGTTGTTAACATTCTCTTAAGAAATGAGATTCTTTTCCCTTCCTCATTTTCTTTTTCTGGTCTAGACTATCTGTTTTAGCAAGAGTTTTCTTTATTAGGTGTACATTCCTCCAGTGAAAGACAAGCATACCAAATCCTCCTGTGACAGCTACACTGACTATAGGACAAAGTGGAACTAACCATAATATTTCCAAAGCTTTAATCTTTACCTTGATAGGAATAGGCTGTTCAGCTTTCTTCTGTGAAGTGGCTAGCAGGTTCCTTTCCATTAACAGCTTAGCGTTTAACCACTGTGCCACTAGGATTTCTTCAAGGTAGGAATAACACTTTGAAATCTTGTTATTATCATCCTTAGCCACGTAACAGTGAATCATGGTTTCACTTTATTTCTGGACAATCCTGGCCAGCAGACACGACCTTTGCCTTCAAACAATGCTTTACACAAACTTGTTGACTTCACACCTAAATGAGCTTTTCTTGAACTCTCATCTGAACACACAAACATTCATTCTAATCTGCGGATTTCCTGTGCGGTGGCGTCCGGAAGGGCCGTCTTCGACTGTTCTGGCTCAGCTAGTCCCTTAACCACACTATAGATTTGATTTCCTCTTTCTCCTTTGATTTTAAGAAGTTAGACAAAAAGTAATTTCTGTTAGTCTCTTAGACAATGAAAATGATCCCAGACTTCATACCAGGAAGTTGATTTTCACAGAAACGAAGAGATGGACCACCCAGAAGCAAGAAAAGTCTGGGCACCCTGACACGGAGTTCACATCCAGGTATCCTGGGAAGAGGGTGAGAAGAGTGCATGGGCTGAGCCTGAGAGAAAAGGCCAGCTGCAAGGTACTGGTGCTCTGCGCCCCAGGGTGGACACTTGTGGGAGTTCAGGCTGAGGGAGTGTGTCACCACGTGCCACAGAGGCGGGGTCAGGGTCCTCCTCTTATCTGTAAAGGGCGCAAGGACTGATCCCAGAGTTTCACAGCGGACTGGCCAGAGATAAAGTGAGGAGAGGGAGAGAGAGAGTCACTGTCAGTCTCACGTAGATACAAATAGAGAAAGACTCAGAGACAAAGAGGCAAGGTGAGAGGCTGGTGAGACCTTCCTACCAGTTTCCCAAAGGCTCTGGGGAGAGGGAGGATCCCGTTTCGACGTTCAAATTCGGGGACTCCAAAGGGACCCTTTTCTGCAGCTCCTTGGGACTTCCTATCTTAACCCTTCCCTTTTCAGTGTGTTGCGAAGGGACTTAAGCAGAAAGACAGGAAGAGGAGGTGGGATTCAGCAGCTGGTATTGGTTTAAGTTCTTTGTAAGAAGTAGCGTGGTTTGTAGCTTTATATCCCGGAGGAGCGTGTGTCACCCAGTTTAAGCAAATCCTGGGGCGTTTGCAAACCCGGCTGCGGGGCAGCTGGCCCCATGCCAGGCTTGGCGTTCGAGGGCTCCGGCCACTCCGTGCTCCCTGGTCCGGACGGAGGGTGGCCGGGTGACATTTATCTCTGTCCTTCTTTGTCCCCTTTTATCTTAGGCTTTCCAGGAGGCCCGGGGGGCCGCTCTGCTTATCGATACCCCTCTCAGCTTGGCAGCGTCTTCAATGCTCCTCAGGTTGCGGGCTGCTTCTCTTACGAAGGCTGTCGAGGACTACCAGCACCAACTACCACTACTAACTCCGGCCGGCGGAGCCGCCTGACCCGCGCGCCCTTGGGCACCCTCGCGGGTGTGCCCAGCTTGTCCTTCTGTGCACAGCAGATCGCGGACCCTCGAGGGGGTTGTCCTGGCCGGGATGGCCCCAGGCCAGGCGGTGGCAGGGCTTCTTCTGCTGGCGGCTGCAGGCCTCGGAGAAGTGACTGCGAGTCCGGGGCTTGAGTTCAGCGAGGATGTGCTGAGCGTGTTTGGCTCGAATCGGAGCCTGTCAGCGACGCAGCTGGAACGTCTGTTGGAGCAGTTGGGAGCCGCCTCTGGTGAAGGCGCTGTGCAACAAGGAAAGCTGCACTTCAACCAGGTAAGGAAGGAGGGGACTCGGGCGGCCCTCTTCACTCTGGGTGCTTATATGAACGATATTTATTTTGGAAACTGCCAGGATATGAATTCATCAGGTTTATCAAGTTGTTGTTGTTAAGTGCCATCCAGTCGATTCCGACCTATAGCGACTCTTGTATAGGGTTTCTAAGGAGCAGCTGGTGAGCTTGAACCACCGACTTTGCAGTTCGAAAGTCTTTGCAGTCTGGCGCATTAACTCACAGCGCCACACCAGGACTCCGGTTTGTTAAGTGGTGGTGGTTATGTGCCATGGAGTCAGTCCTACTCATAGTGACCCTGTAACAGGGTTTCCGAGGCTGTAAACCTTTACGGGAGCAGAAAGCCTCATCTTTCTCCTGCGGAACAGCTGGTAGTTTCGAACTACTGACCTTGAGGTTCGCAGCCCGATTCCTAACCACTAAGCTACCAGAGTTCCTTGATTTGTTAAGTAGGAGGTGGTAATTGATTGGTGACCCCAGATTTTCACTAGACTTTTATGTCTTGTTAGAATTAAAGATCTGATAGCAGTATTTGGCAGTGGAAAATTGCAATTTTATGCTTAAAAAGCAGAGATCTGACGCTTGTGGTTTTACGATTTTATAGAAACATTTATGAAGTAGTTAGTGCAAGTTCCAGGATGGAAAGTTGACTCAAGTGATATCTTTTAGATATGAATAACGTACTTAAATCTTTCTAGAAAGAGGTAGAGGTTTACACATTTCCTACAAATTCAGCAAGGCAGAATAATATATCATAGGCCCTCAGCGAATGCTCTGTACTGTAAAGTCATTGTGAACTGCAAGGTCGGTGGTTCAAGCTCACCAGCTGCTCCTCAGAAAACCTATAAAGGGTCGCTTTGGGTCGGAACCGACTTGGGAGCACACAACAACTGTTGCTCAGTGGGTAACAACTGCTATGTAAGAACAGGTATAATGAGTTTCTGTCTTTCCTGACTGTATTACATGAAACATTTAGAACTAAAGGATCCTTACGCTGGGGACAATGAGGTCTTGAGATCAAGATAATGCATTCAATTGGTAGCGTAAATAAAATGACTAGTCTTAGTGTCCAGTCATCAGTCAGGCTGGTTAAATGTTTGATTCTAATATCCATTCGCAATAAAAAATATATTTCACAGTACGTACCCACAGCAAGTACCAAACGCCCCCCACCAAAACCAAACAGAAAACCTTTGAGTGGATTCCATCTCATAGTTTCTGAGGCTGTGAATCTTAAGGAAGCAAAAAGCCTCACGTTTTTCCTGAGCGGCTGGTGGGTTTGGACTAACAACCTTGCAGTTAGTAGCAGTCCAGTGCTTATCCTACAGCACCACCCGGGTCTTTATAGGACAGCTTGTTGTTGTTTTTAAGTCCCATCCAGTCTGTTTCAGCTCATAGCAACCTGTTCCAAGGAGTGGCTGATGGGTTTTAAAAACTCTGTATATAGGTTCACTATTAACTGATGACCTTGCAGCTAGTAGTCCAGTGCTTAGTCTACATTGCCAAACCAGAAGGAACAAATAAATAAAGATCATAGATATTGGTTAACCTAAAAGTCAAATTTCAAAATCGATGATATTATAGAATTCCTAGTCTATTTTGCTGTTGTTGTTAAGTATCATTGAGTCAGTTCTGACCCATAGCAACCCTGTATAAGAGCAGCTGGTGAGCTTGAACTGCTGACTTTGTGGCTTAAACCAACTTTGAAGTCCAGAGTTGGTTCTAACTTGTAGGGACCCTGCAAAGTGTTTCCAAGACTGTAAATCTTTAAGGGAGCAGAAAATTTCATATTCTGATGCTACTAGTGAGTTTGAATTGCTGACCTTGTGGTTAGCAGTCTGGGGCTTATCCAACAGTGTCACTTGTGCATTGACATTTTGTAAAATTGTTTAGAAGGCAAAGTGTGCTTTCAACATCCCACCCCACACACTAATTTCTATGATCCCACCTCCTTTCTTATTAAATGAGTTAATCTAGTGTCCTGATGTTTTCCTCTTTGCCTTGCCCCAGTGACTGCTTTTACAACTGGTGATGGATAGCAGAATGCAGTGTTTCCCATACAAGTGTGATTTTAAAAGTTTGTGGAAAAACTCCATTATCTTTCAATTCCATTTTCTAAAAACTTTTTCTTCTAACTGTTCTTCACTTATGGGAGATGTTAGTTTGTGTTAAAAAAAAAAAAGTTTTTGTGGCCCAAGAAAACTGTTTGAGAGATTCTGCATATTTATTCTCCTGTGGAAATTTTGTCATTTGTCCTGGTGTGGCATTGTAGGATAACCACTCGATCTCAAGGCTAGTTTGAACCACAAGGTTATTGGTTCAAAGTCACCAGCCACTCCTTGAAAACCCTATACAGGGTTCCTATGGATGGAAACCCATTTGACGGCACTTAACAAAAACAATGAAATTCTGATTTGGTACTACTGTAGGATAAGCGCTGCAAGGCTGGCAATTCAAACACACCACTGCTCTTAGTAAACTCAATACAACGTTGCTATGAGACTCAATAAGGAGCTCTGGTAGCGTAGTGGTTACGAATCGGGCTCCTAACCTCAGGGTCAGCAGTTCGAAACTACCAGCTGTTCCGCGGGAGAAAGATGAGGCTTTCTGCTCCCGTAAAGATTTACAGCCTCAGAAACCCTGTACAGGGTCGCTATGAGTTGGAACTGACTCACGGCACATAACAATAACAACATGAGCGTCAATGGCATTTAACAACAACAACAAAGTATTTGACTTTGGATTACAGATAATTCCTTATAATCAGATAAATTCCTTGCTAATAATACTATAGGTAGTTTTGGTATTCTTTTTGTTACAAATGTCTTCCCTCAACTAAAACATCCTGAGAATGCAAGATCTAACCACAAGTTCTGCAGTTCAAAACCATCAGCTGGTCCTCTCCACCCTCCTGCTCTGTTTTCTGCTCCAGTAAAGATTTACAGCCTCGAAAACCCTATACGGAGTTGCTATGAGTCAGAATCAGCTGGACGGCAGTGGAACTTCTAGGTTTATACTCAAGAAGAAGTAGAACTCTGTGATGTCATAAAATATCAGAAGACAATTTCTCTTTGGACAAGAAAGGTTTTATGGTTCCCTTCTTTTAGGCATTGGTATGTTAACTGAAAGGTTGGAGGCTCAAACGCATCAGTCACTCTGGGAGAAAGATGAGGCTGTCTGTTCCCTTCGATTTCTAGTTTCAAACACCTTGTATAGGTTCAGTATTAACTGGAATTGACTTGTTGGCTGCGAGTTTAGTTTTTATGCATGGTCTTTAGTGAACTATAGCTCTAGACAAGTTGGAAAAAACTGGGCACATACTATATTAATATTTAAGAAAATAAAACAAATCTATTTTCTGATTGATTGTTATCTCTTCTTTCCAAGTAGGGGAAATAGTTGAGCTGACTCTAGTATTTCTGGGTAAGAGTACGTAGGTCACCTGGGAAGGAAGTTTGGGGATTTGACTGGAAGTTACATATCAGTAGGCCACACATTGTTTTAACTTATCTCCTTATCTTGCATTCCTTGGAGGTGCAAGAGACCCTCAAACCACCCCTTACGACAGGCCATGCAAAATATGTGTAATTTATTTAGGAAGGCTAGTTTTAAGAAATATTTTAGCAATTTGATTCTAAATTTATAAGCAGATTAGAAAGCTTTAATAGATAAATTATATATATGTTGATAGCTTGTTTCTTTTAATGTTTTCGCATTTACCCTTATTATGGGTTCTGTGAGCATTAGAAAGAGGCAAGAAGAAGCCAGTAATTAATTTGGAAACAAAGGGAAGCCAGAGGAAATTTATCACTTAATCAGTCTTAGCAAACATGTATTTGATGTCCTAAAAAGTCCTAATGAAAATAACAATCATCAGTTAAATTATGACTAATGAAATGCCAATCCAGAAGAATCCATTAACTTGGTGGTAATTGATGGACTTTAGCCAAGGCATTCATATTTGCTCTAGCACTGAATACATCTAGTTTGGAGTATAATTTAGGGCCATACATGTTCCCATACTTTATGGAAGGCAACTTAATTTCCTCACCTGCAATAAAGTAGAGTAAACAATGTATGGGCCTATTATGAGAAGCTTGAAGTTTCTGATTTTGAAACTTGTGTGGGTCAGGTAGTTGTTGAATGGTCTACAAGATCAGTCAACAAATGACATTGTTTTGAATGGTTATATATTTACTAGGTTAACTTCTCTCAAGTGTTGGTCTCCTGTTCTCTAGATGTTTGTTAGGTAATTTTGGAAAGCATTTTTTTTAAAAAAGTATTTTCCAATATTTTGAGAATAACGATGCTTAGGGAGACTAATGTGACAAGCTGGAGATAATAGAATAATTGAGTTTGTTGTTTTGCTTCTGATGGTTTCTAAGTGTGTGTTGTTGTTAAGTGCTGTAGAGTTGATGCCAACCCATAAAAACCCTGTACAAGGTTTCTTAGGAGTGGCTGGTGGCTTTGAACTGCCGACCTTGTGGTTCAAACTGACTTGCAGGCCAGGGCCTATCCTACAGCACCACAGCAGGGCTCTAAAGGTTTGTGTAAAGGGCAGGAAAGGAGATACTCAAATAGCCAAGGAAGTGTGTCCTTTCAGCCAAATGATTTATGAGACCCCCATGACTGGATGTGATATGATCTATCTTGGGGAGTTACGAGTATACATAGGGATGTCCCCAACTATCTGAATACTCCTGAGTTATTGTTGTTGCTGTTAAGTGGTGTCGCAACCTGTATGGGGTTTCCAAGGAGAGACTGGTGATTTTGGACTGCCAACTATGCAGTCAAACTGACCTTGCATTCTAGTGCATTATCCTACAACATGACACCATGACTGGGTTATTAATTTTTGGAATTAAGAATAGTTTCAGTGTTGCCTTTTACTTGGACAGATGTTCCTTTCTCATTGTCTAAACAAAGGGGTTTAAAAATGTTTCTCACATGTTGTTGCTATTAAGTGCCCTTGGGTTGGCTTTAA